CACACACACACACACACACACACAGCAAAGCGCCTATCCGCTACACCATAGACGTTAGTGGGCCCCGTACAACATCTTAAATGGCATAACCGAGTTGAAAGAAAAGGATCACCAAACCAACAAAATACAACAAGAGGCAGTTTTTTCCTGGTCTTCTGCTCATGCGCTCGACTTCTAATTAAAATAAACCTACGAGAAAATGAAAGGCGCATGACCGGCCAACTTTTCATTATTCCCTGGCCGGAAGCACTGTTCTACCTGAGACCAAGCGTCGTTACACAGCATCTTTATAATAAGGCAGTGAGATTACGACCAAGCTTGAGGTAAAACAAAATTGTCTAGCTTTAAAAAAAAAGAGGGGGGGGGGGGGTCATTAATCTTAATAGATGGAATATCTTCCAACCTTAAAAAAGGAAAAGGTTTTGACAAATTACTTGTTAAGGTTTACACGCACGTCTATTTTGACTTACGGTCTGTGATAATATATGAGTAAAAGAAGCACATCAATACAATAACGATCATATAGAGGAGAGAAGAAGCAAGAATAGGCGAAAACAACAGAGGGAAAGAAATGAAGCAGGACCCACCAGAGGCACCTTCCAAACACCAGCGTGTGACATGAAAAGTAGATTATGTTATGAAACAAGGCTAAACCAAAACTACACTCTGGTAAATGATTATACGGCAACATAAGCGAACATGCAAACATAGGAAAAATGCACATCTGCCAATTTTACAAACCAACCCCTCTCCCAAAACAACAACAAAACAACAAAAACAACAACAACAAAACAAACAACAACAACAACAACAAACAAAACAAACAAATAAAAACAAAACAAAACAAATAAACCAAGCTCTTCCTCGGCGGCGAGTCAAGATGGTGGGCACTGGCCAAGTAACCCCCATCAGAACCCTTCACACACACTTTCCTGCATTCAGTAAATTCAAAGCATACCTGCAGCAATCATGTGAGAGATTTAGTAAAGACCTCTGATATGTACAGACACAATTCTAATTGTGGGCTTCGCTCTCATTTTATTCCCAAATCTGGCCTCTTCAGCCTAGACAAGTTCGTGAATTGCATACTCCAAAACAGAAAAAAAACCCACCAATCCTTAGATACCCAGATCCTTAAAACATTACTATAAAGTACGTTTTTACGTGCTGTAAATGCACTGAACTGAAAAAGAAAGACCATATCATTATGCTTTTTAATCATCATCATCGACATCATTGTCATTGAAATGGAGAATAAAAACGGTTGAGACTTGGTAGATGTAGGATTTCCAAAAGGTCTATCTATTATATATTTGGCAACTTGGAAACACACGTGTTACTTTTCCCAGAAAACCACGAAAGCTACAGAGTAGAACGTTAGCAAGTACCTGCAAAAACATAGATAGGTCCCCATGACGGAGCCCTACTTTTGATTTATTCATTTCCTGAATTCAGAAAAATATATTTGACAAAAAGTTTCCGTCCTTCTTTGGCGTTTGTGATTATTCCACTGAAAGACGAAACAAATCTGCGTAGCTGTCTTCCACAGCAGAAGCGCCGGAAGTGATATTTCGCGAAGCGCATTTTGTTTCGAGAGTATAGATCTAGACCTTAATTTCTTGCATCTCTCAAGATGTATTGCTCCATTCCAGTAGAGTGTAAATATTATAGTGGGCCAATGACTTTCAGTTGATGTTAATGCACCGATCATTCCTTTCATCGAAAGCGGGCCTTGCTAGCATTATGTGAATGCGTTCATTATCATTGTCATCATAATCTTGATTATCATCGGCATCCTCATTACCATCATCGTCGCCGTCATCATACTTGTTTATAATATAAGCGTTTTAACTTAATTTGAGTCCAAATCGACACAAGTTACAGGTAGATCATTCAAGAGACGGGCTTCAACCATGACAGGTAAAACCAAGGCTGAGAATACTTTGGTCATATCTGTTCTGTCCGTCTTTTTAACATGATGATGATAAGACCATTTGCAGTCGCGAGCGCCGTAAAACGCTTACTAAAACATTACATGATGATAGATTTGCAGCAGTAAAATCTGTTGGCACTTACATGACCAAAATTGAGTCGATAGTACCGTAAAACACCTACTCAATCAATCAATCAATCGATCTGTTCTGTTTTCTCTTTCGGGTTTGATCATTTTTGACTTGTTGTAAGTAGTTTATGCATGTGCGTACGTGTAAAGCTCGGATGGGTATTGGGGGGGGGGGGGGGGGGTTTAGTTTTAGCAGAGGTTTTACGGCGCTCGCAACTGCATAAGGTCATATGAGCGCCAGAAGAATAGAGCTGTTGCAAGAGAGTAACAAACATAAAAAAGATGAAGGGGAGATCAGGACGATAGGATGTTTGATAGGAAAGAAGAAGCAAACCACACCGACAAAAACCCCAACAGAAATGAAACATAAACGACAACTCAATACAATAGCACACCAGAATCTGTGGCTTGATGTTTAAAATATGTTACATAACAGCCTTAGGGTGGAGAGGGGGAGGGGGTTGCTAGTTTGCTGTGGGTCTGTGTCAAAGCCCTGAACCGACTTTATAAAAAAGGGGGGTGGTGGTGCCGTCTCAGCTTGTGTGCATCTGTAAGAAAGCGCAGAAGTTTAAAGAATATATAGCATTTCCGTCGGAACCAGTGCCAGTGAGACAGTTCGTTCGCTCGCCCCTTTCGCGTGTTCAAGCCTGAAACAGTTCTCGATTTCGGCGCTTAGGGGAACCGATCGAAATAATCTAGAAGGGAAAATGAAATTCCCGGGAAAGCTGATCTAGTGAGGGCTACTGCCCCCCAGCGCGACGCGGCTGGATACCACAGAATTGAAAAGAGGGCAGAAGTTGCAAATGATTTTTTTTTCATTTTTTTTTCAGACGATAACATATGCACCCCCCCCTTTCCCCCACCCAGGCAAAAAAACAAACCAAAAAACAACAACCCAACAACGTCAAAACAACTACAAAAATATTTTTAAAACCCCAAAGAAACCAAACCCTAAGAGAGCGTCTTGTCAGTCAGAGCGTAAAACATTCTAAAACTAAACACAATTCGTCAAAGCCAAAACAACAATGGCCTTTACATACATGTAGTTATTAAATAGGTCAATGCACACATCCTTCACCTCTGCACTTCAGAAAAAAAAAGTGTCTGAAATCATAAACACTAACATACAATACGTAAACAGAAGTAGGAACCATGTCCTCAGATTCAGAAATACCATAATTACGAGGGGGGTTCAAGAAGTCTTTGGTCTAAATATGAAGGAATAAAGATACAGCTTTGTAACTTGGCACACATACTTTCATTTCTCTATAAAACGTCCTTTCTGTGATTTTTAAAAAGATTAGTTGACAGAAAAAAGTCTGAAGGACCTAGGTCTTGTGAATACGCTGGGTGTGGCAGGATTTCAAAAGCCACACTGCTCTGCTGTCAGGACTGTTTTTGTGCCCTGTGCGCAGGGGCGTTGTCATGCAGTAGGAGGACCCCATTATGGAGTTTTCCACGCCTTTTTCTCACCAGCTCGGACCGCAGTTTTATTAGTAAATACGAATAGTAGTCCCCTGTGACTGTTTTTCCATTTTCCAGGTAGTCAGTAATAATGCCATTTTTTGTTCTGGATAAAAATGAATGTTTCACCCAGTCACCATGATTTTAAAGAAATTTGTGTCATTGGACTCAATTCGAAGAAGAGTTTTGCTTCTTTTGCTCACTTGTCAAAAGGCGGGGTACTCACCGCGCAGACACCTCATCCATGTTAAGATGGTCGTGGAGAATCGTTTCAATTGACCCTACACTGATTTCCGTTTCACTTGAGAGCTGTTTAACAGTTATACGTCGGTCTTGTAAAACCAGTTTCTTCACTATGGATACATTCTCTTCAGTTACCACAAAGGATGAACGCCCTTCACGATCTTCATCCATCACCGACCTGAATCTAGATTTTAATTTTCTTACCCAGTAGATCACAGTATCATAAGGAAGACATTTGTCACCATAAACCTGGACCATCTCAGGAAAAATGTACGAAGGGGATTTTCCTTGCAAGTATAAAAACTTGATAATTGAGCGATATTCAACGGGTTCCATGGCACAGCTTCAGCAAAGAAAAACCAAACGTTTTTGTTTCATTGAACACGCTGACGAGCGCCTTATTATAGTCGGATTTTCCCGAAAATCTGCACTGAGTGTACCAAAGAAATTGTCTAAAGGCTGGCGAAATTTCATTACTCTACCATGATTCCTTCATACCCAGACCAAAGACTGATTGGACTCCCCTCGTACATCTAACACCGTGAGTCGTTCCAAGACCCAGAGTTATCAACACATTTCCTGCCACTGTGTCCTCTGTCCCTTTCATCTCCTTTTCGGATCTGGCAGCCTCTCTACCTCATCGCTTCTTTGAAGGGGACCCACCATCGCCCTCACGACAAGGGAGGGCAATCGGCAGGGCGTCACAGAAAAGAATAAAAGGGAGACAAAGGACGGCAATCATTTCTTTCGCTCGCGTCCTCCTCAGGGCATAAAGTTGTCTAACCTCCCCCTGGCCGGACATCGTCTCATTCATTCAACCAAGTGACGAGGAGGAAGCTCGAGAGAGGAAGAAAGAAAAAGACGAAGATGGAAGACGAAAAGTTTACCTTGAGAAGACGACATTTATTCTTTGGGAGAAAAGCAGGGGGAGAATGAAATATATACATTGTTTAACTTGAGGCGGAGGCGTTGTACACTCTTGGAGCATAAAAAGTAAATTGAAGACATGAAAAAGGAGGGTAAAACGACGAAAGCAATAAATATTGTTCAGCTTGAAAAGAACACGACTCACAGGAAAAAAACACCGCATAGGCACAGAGACGTACAGACAAATAGACAGACAAACGAACAGAGAGAAAAACAGACTGACAGACATGACAGACAGAGATATAGACTGATAGATAGATAGCAGTTCCAAGTGAGTATCTAAATCGTGCGACGTAAAAAAAAAGAGCGGAGAGAAAGAGA